AAAATGAGGGCAATTATCCAACGAGGTGCCTCAGGAGCTGAGCACACATAAATAGGTCTCAATGAGAGTCCTAACCTGAATGTCCTCTATATATATACACACACTGTATGTACTGTATGTACACATGTGCAACACGATACTTTCAGGCAAAGATTATACTGTTACACACAGCATGTTTATACCTGCTGTGGAAAGGTCAAAAACAACAATGCATCCTTGAGTTTCTCTTTTTTTTCTAGCTTTGCTGTCTTTGGATATTAGTCACATGCTGTTTCTACACACGACACAAATTGTGTTGTATTTTGGAACCAACAGATTAATCCACACCATTGAGCCCTGCTCCCAAAAACGGACATTTTTGGGCCTTTTGCGCTGCCGCTGGCTGCAACATTGAGTTTGATGTGAAGAAACCAACTCTGTGTCTCTTTAGGAGTATTTGGCTGTTTGCTGTTTGGCTAGCTGCACTCAAATGGAAACGCCGCAATGATCAGGTTTGTAAAGCACTTTAGAAATAAACACGGTGTTGATTCTGTTCATCTGGACATAACGAGTTAGCTCTACATCCAGATGAACAGAATCAACTTTTTGGGATTTCCTTACCTGGATGATTGAGCATGCATTGAGACATTTAATATGTGGGACTGGGACGAGCTAAACTTGACTATAAGAGTTCACAGTAATAGACGAACAACAGCTAGTGTAACAGTGCGCCTCACTAATGTGCTTTTATACGTTTTTTAACATAAATAATGGAGCTCTAATGTAGAACGCAGCGATTACTGTTGAAGCCTTTTCATGAGATCTGATGACGAGAACAGAAATAAAATTTGTTGTAAATTCCCGACATTTGCAGTACATTTTTTTTCCAAATTCATAGCTCATTTTTTGTGCCCAAACAGCTGTAATAAGTACCTTTGAACTATTTTAAAATAAAGTTAACACAAATTATATTTCATTTTTTAAAGAATTGGCAATTTTGGCGTGTGTAAATCTGATCTGATTTCAACTTTTTACAAATCTTACAAAGGGAGACTACAGTGCTGTATAACACAACCAAGACTCCTAACGATACTACGGAAACACAGTTCGAGAAACATTGGTTATCCATCCCTCGAACAGAAAGTGCTCATTATAAAAAACACAATAACTAAATTAGGAAAATAACCACACCAAAGTCATGGACTGTACTGCAGAGAGCTACATAAGTGTTTTTAAATGTGTTATTGTTAATTTGTACTGAATATCGACTTTCAGTCATATAAATGTGACCAAGGGGAAATACAATAAAAGGTCATGGGCTGCTTGGTTTCTAGAACTGGGCCATGAGGAATTCTACTGAGCCCAGGCTATGAATGTCCCTCATTACTAACCCTGATGGAAAAAATACGGATTGGGTCACAGACCAACGTTATTAGTCATTTTTATATTGTAATTATTACCCAGCTTATCCTTTTCTTTTGGTTCGAACCCACTTGCCTTCCTGCACCAGCTCAAACCACAATGACTTTTATATAGTCTTATATTAAGTTAAAAACAAACAAATACCTGATTTTTAATTGATCTCGTCTTTCATCAGAATCTTTAATTATTATATCAGAACTCTTGCAGTGTATATGTATGCATCTTATGATTAGGATCACATACTACATGTACATATACTACATTATAGGGTATTTATTAGTCACACGTAAGGTCCTATATTTCCTCTTAGTTAATCCTCTCTAACACAGTATATTTCGTACATTTTGTGTACTCCAAAGTCATTTGCAATTCAGTAAATAAATAAATAAATAAATAAATCAAATGTACTAGTTAAATATGTATTTATTTTATTGTTTTTTTAGGCTGCACTTCACAAGGCTTCAAATGCAACTGAGGCCTGAGTATATGCTTTAAATACCCATTTATTTCTTCTTCTGGATGCGATACGCAGTGTTTTCCACAATCATCATTACATTATAAACGTGAACTTTTCACTTATTTCATACTGAAGCATGAAGTTATTTTACAAAAACTAAAGTACATGAAATTCGTGTACGGTGTGCTCTATTTCATATTTTTTATGGCACAAAACTATATACAAACAGATTTTTAAAATATCTATAATAACTAATATAAAATATTACTAATATTATTTATTAATCATGAAAATTACTTTTTAATTTTGGTGTTTAGGTGACTCTGAAGCAGCCTAATGACTCAGAGCACAAATGAGACCAGTGTGATTAAATTAGGTGAATAATATAATAAATTTTAAGTTCTTTCCTGTTATCATCTTTTAAAATCTCACAAAGAAAAAAAACCCAATTCAGTAAAATTATATTTTGATTTACCGACTTTGGGAGTCAGTGTTTAAATTTAGTCTAACTGCCTTAAACATGAAAAAATCACCCTACAGCTTATCGGTTTAACACGGGAGACAGAGCAGTATATCAGATACTTTTTTCTGCAAAAATGTCACGTGTCCCTGTTTTTTTTAATAGCTAATAATTGATAAAAAATGTTGTGTTACATGATTTTGGCATATAAGTAGGGCAGGCCGGAAAAGGTTGACCTATATAAAGAGCAGTTTCTGCCAGATTTATCCACCTATGCACACACCTGGCCACACCTGCTAAAAGAAAATGAGTTGGATATTTTTAATTATTAGACCTATTAAAACACTGCGTTTCGACAAAAGTCTAAAAACAAATGTGTGGCAAATCTGGTAGACAATAAAGAGAGAGCATTTCTAAGTACTCTAATGAAACCCACCAAATCTAGAATTGGAGAAAAGGAACCTCTCCTCTCAGTAAAAGTGCACATACTTAAAACTTCCTCATCATATATTCATGTAAGCCTTTCGAAAGCAATCACAATCAAAATCAAATGAAAATCAACCACGTTAAATGAAACAGCTGAGAACTTCTGCTTGATTGCTTGACAGCATTATATTATCTGTTCATGTTCATCGGCTATCAGCAAAGCAAACGTGAGTTTAGTAAAGTTAAACACATGAAAATGTTGAGAACAGCAGCTACCCTGCTTTTGCTCTACAAGCCGCATGAGCGTCTTATTGAAAGTATGTCAAAAGATGTGATGGTGATGTTCATGTTACTGCGGAAGCAAAGACAACTGTCCTCCTCCACTGCTCTTCCCCTTCTTTCATCTCCCCCATCACTTTTCTTGCCTTGACTCAATCCCCTCTGCCCTCACTCTACATGCCATAGTTTGAACTTCCTTTCTCCTTCAGCAACCTCTGCCTCCTCCTCATTACCCTGTTCTTCATCTCATCCCATCGTTACACTACAGCTTTGTCTTCACATCTTTTCTATAACGTGAAGTGCATCTCTTCTTTCCACTTCTCTCTCTGACATCGGACATGGGCTGAGCTAGACAGTGTGGGTAGTGATGGTGTGGCAGAGTGCTTGTAAATGTGTCCATCTGCCAAGAAACAGGAGGAGGAAGAGCAGGCAGGGGAAAAGACCACGGAGCATGTGTTTTAATTTGGATTGATGGTTACCCATCACATGTTAATCGTCTGGGAATCATGTGCTCCTGCAAACACCACCACAAAAAGATGTGCAGATGCATGGTGGCATTTCTCAGTGAACTTCTGTGCAGGTGTGTAGGTGCGCACACACACACACACACACACACACACACACACACACACACACACACACACACACACACACACGCTAAGCCAGATATGTGAAGTGCACCAACTGCATACATACAAACTTGCATACATTAGCAAAGTGCCTGCAGGCAACCATAGCAACGGTTGCCATAGTTGCTGTAGGAAGCCAGAGTGGTTCCAGGGGAACCAGTGAAACATATTTTTCAGTCCAGTAAAATGAAGCCGATGTGAAAGCGCCAAAAACTGCAATTCCTCAAATGGCCACATGATGCTTACTTGAAAAGTGAGTCAAGCCCCATGTTGCACTTTTTTAAACCGTTAATACTCCAAATACAAATCGACACTTCTGTCCTTTCTTGTTGACACCAAAAATATCAATTAAACAGTTACCTGTTGGTTCTAATAGGTTAAGCAGCCTCCCACTACTAGCCAGCGCTGCAGCCACGGTACATGGCTTCACTACCCTTTCTATGTGAAAGGATATTTTAAACAAGCAAGGCAGAAAGTAAGCCCATTTAACTTTTTAATGGAGCTTAAATTCATAATGTAGGGGAGCTGAGAAATACTCTGGTTATCTATTGATTTTTGATTTAGTTGTATAACCCAGCGGTCCCCAACCCCCGGGCCATGGACCGGTACCGGTCCGTGGGTCGTTTGGTACCAGGGCGCGAGAGTTGAGGCTCGGGTATGAAATTTATGGTTTACAGGTTTTTTATCGTTAACTGGGTTTCCCTGGGTCTTTTCCCGTGATGAAGCTGTGCGTCTTATTTTGAAAGAAATATTTACACATTACCATAGCGACCAGAGAGCATTAAGGGGCAGAGAGGAGGATGTTACTCTCAGTGTTGTTGGCGCATTTCAGGAGGACGCTGCTAATAAAGTTACACAATTACACAGTGAATTTGTATTTATTATTAAATTTACAAAACACCACAGTTTTGGTTTTGGTCGTATCGTTTTATTTTGTTGTATTTATCTGCGAATATGTCTGACATAAAACCGGTCTGTGGCGCAAAAAAGGTTGTGCTCCACTTTCGTTAACCAACCTTACTGATCACTTAGCAATGCAGCATCGTATCACATGGTACAGCCATAGTAAACTGTAATTTTACAGCTGTATATAAATTATGGTTTAATGGCGATTTCAATCTATTTCAATAGGAGCATCATGCAGGTGTAAAATGACAGTAATGGCTTTTGTATGTTGTCATTAAAGAGATCAATCCCCAGTCCCGGCGTGTTGCAGAATTAATCAGCAAAATACTGAAATTTAAATCTTTGTGAGTCATTTTTCGACCCCCAACCTTCATGTCTGTCAGCCTAGATCAGGTGAAAAGAAAAAACATGAAAATGTCCTCAGTGTCCTGAAGAGGCTCACCTTGGTTGGCGCTGTGAAGGTGCAGCCCGTCTGGCCTCCTCCCCCAGCCGGCTGAGGGAGGGTGACCGGCTCCTCGCACCTCTCCCCATGGTCCGAACCACCACATTTCCATTGGGGCTGCCGCTGGGCATCTGCTGGAGCAGCTGGGGTGACAGGCTGCGATGTAATGCTGAGGAGCCAGGCTGTGAGTGACCCTGCTGGGGCGCCCGGTGTGATTGGTGCTGGGCGTGTTGGTGCTGCTGCAGATGGGGGGCCCAGTTGCCAGGAGAACCGTGCTGCTGCTGCTGGTACTGACTGACTGTTAGGTTGTTATCGCTGTTGGAGCGCAGAAGGACCCGTGGCGCTGATAACGAAGAGGGCGACTGGCCGTTTCCGCTGCCGTCGCCAGAAGATGGACCCCTTCTGCGTTTGGAGTAGGCTGGAGCCTCACGGAAAGGCACTGCAAAGAAACGAGGAGGGAAAAGTCTCATTTCAAGCAGATGCTGAAGAGAGTGTTTTGGACTGAGAGACAATACTGTTGAAAGTCAGCCAAATAGGATCAGAAATGTGAAATCTAAAAAGAAAGACAAACGCTTACTAGATGGCTTCATCTTTTTTAGAATAACATATTAGACAGACAAACAAGAAAGGTACATGTATGTTTGGAAAGAAGTGTTTATAGGAACTGCAGCAAAACCTTCGAGCTACTTCAAGCAGGTACTGCATCACGCACGTCCCTAAAACTCCTTCCCAGTGGTAGTCTGTTTGAGCTTTACATGTTTCAGTTTATCCCATGTCAGTGCCACTGCTGCACTGCTGATGCTTAAACCCCTATAACAGTGGTCCCCAACCTTTTTTGCGCCACGGACCGGTTTATGCCCGACAATATTTTCATGGACCGGCCTTTAAGGTGTCGCGGATAAATACAACAAAATAAAACTAGTACCGGTACCGAAAAAAAGAAAATTTATTCATAACAGGCGTGAAAGACCCAGGAAAACCGAGTAAACGATAAAAACGATAACAAAATAACGCTGAAAACCGATAAAAACCCTGAAAACCAAACATTTCACACCTGAGCCTCGACTCTCGCAGCCCGGCACCAAACGACTCACGGACCGGTACCGGTCTGAGGCCCGGGGGTTGGGGACCGCTGCCCTATAACACCTGGAGGTTGGTGTAATAGTGCAATATAAGTCATTCGAATGTGAATTACCTTGTCTGATCTGGAGTTGTCACTGAGTTCATTTTTCACCTGTGTGTGGACAGCTGTCTGCAGCACATCAGTAACCTTGAGGTCACCCTCATTCTTAAAAAAGTGCCAACGTGACCCTGGATATGGTTCATTCTTTGAAACTCTAGTATTGTGTAACCTTTTGTTGACACATGGGATCACATCAGCCGGCAGTGACCAAACCATGATATTGTGGCTCCTCAACTGAAAGGGATTTACTGCCCAAGCTCAGAGTTAATGGTGCAGGCTGAACTACATAGTTTGTATCAAAAGAAATCGATTTCTATATGTTTGCAGCTTTAAGGAGCTCTTACAGTATGCCCATTTAGAAATACCGCACAGAGAGCCAAATAACTTTGGAAGGGCTCAACCTCTGGACCTCTCTGGTGTTGGATTTTGGAGGTTTTGTGTCACTCTTCTTCACATAAATGATCCACTTTATTGTATTTATTTTGAACCTCTTAATCCTAGATGGGCTACCAGTGTCCTTAAGATAGGTTTCCTCTTGTTGTATTGCTTAGTGCTTAAGTATTTATTAGATTACATTCTGGTCTATCTGACATTCATCATGTATGTAGGTGGGATCTCTACATTTTCATGTATGAAACATAAAAGGAATCATCCCATGATTGATTCAGACGTCTCATTAATGACACAAAGAACCAGCAGTCAGATAGAAACTTTACCTTTATCGCAAATTTGACAGCATTAAGCTTAAACAACAAATCCATATAATCACAGAAGTCCCCAGATTAAAAACATAGAACTTTCACTTTATATGAATATTTTAAAGAAAAGTTTTAAGCTCATGTGAATACAAATATTTAGAGGAAGAGGCTATTAAGAATGATAATTACAACAGTTAATCTTTCAGTTTTTACAGTAAGGTAAATGTTAATATCCCGATAAATGTGGGTATCCTGCTAATGCTTATTGGCTGATTGAGGAAAAAGTAGCAGAAAGTATATAAGTATGAGAAAAGCTAATAAACCCTATGGTTGCAGGCTCATCTTTGCCGTTTGGCTCTGAATTTCTATATTAAACTGTACAATCAAAACACAATCCTGCATTTGCATCGGTGATGGACAGGCAATGTATTCTAAAGCATCGTGCTGTGCAATCACAGTGTGTATGTGAACATTAAATAGGGCTATTAAGTCTGAATTGCATCCATAGGTCTGCTGACATTCTGATTCTTATTAATCCTCTCCAGCTGAGCGCATGCTGTACAATTTGGGGAAGAAAAGGGGCAATTACGCTTCTTGCCATTGTTGCATTTTATTCTGTGCTGATCTTGCACTTGGCTGGTCACACTTTGTTTTAGTGGTTCTCTTGACCATAAGAAAGCTTCATTTGTACTAACATATATGCAACGTCTCTGTTCAGCACGGCTGTAAAAAAAGAACCTTTGCACTGAACTTTTTTGTGTGATTTCCTTCCTCTTTGGAGCTAAAACAGCCCATCCAAACACATGAGATATCAGTGGAAAGCCCAGGATGTCCTCTATTAAATACATCAGGCCTTAGTTGGGTAGCTCAGATAAGTCAAAAGATATAGACCCAAAACAAACATCCATTAGAGAGCACATAAATGAATAGGCTGGTTCTCGGTAATGAGATCTGGGGGTGGTTGGCTTGGGCTTCTTGTATTTTCTCCTATGATACCATATACTACTGTATAAGTTCAACCAGGTCCTGTAAAATGGCTATTCATCTTAAGAAAACGTAGAATAAAGCTTTGGAAGATGTTTTGACGGTAAAAACTGTTTCTAAAAATGCAACGCAGTCAATGAGATAAAGCAAAAAATGAAGTGTGAAAGATAAAAGATTATAAACCTTCAGTATGCTGTGCTAGTAACTAGGAGCGTACCAGCTATGGTTTTCTCTGTCAGTCTTATTAGACCTGATGGAAGCACTGAGCAGCTCCAACATTCATTCATTGCAATGTTCGGTGGTACACCCAACCCTGGGTCCTGCCATTCATTAGGATGTTACCACATAAAGTCCTCAGACCCCAACAGTCCAGTCTGCATGCTTCACTGTTGGTTTGGTAGGAGTCGGGGAAACTACACAGAATCAGAGAGGTGCTTTTATTTTTTATACATAATTTTCTTTGGCAAATTACACAGATCGTCCAAGTTCATACATTTCAAATATTAAGTTTAGGTTTTATAACCTAAACTGCAACTGATCTGCATCCGATTTACTGGTTTACAACTCCACTACTCTCATCTTTGTGTTTTAGTGACTGCTAAACAGTAAGATGCAGCACTTCCTTTCTCAGGTCTTTTTCATTGCAACAGACAGCATCACTGCCTTAGAAGCAGCTGCTGATGGTAGCTCTGATTCTGGTGTCTCTGTGACCTGCAAAGCAGCCAAACCTGCAGAAAGTGGAGAAATAGATCACGTGGCAGCATGTGGAACTGACTGAGGCTGCAGAGCAGAGCAAAGACTACAGTCATCAGTAGGTGAAGCTAAATTACCGCTGCATGAAGAGAAAGTCACGAGAGAGTGAGCTGATTACTATTTACTCGTCATAAAGCACTTAGAAATGACCTCTCATGCAGAGGACCACATAAACTGTATTTTACTCATTTAGTCCCGCTCAGTGTTAACCCTGAGTCCAACGTCACCACTAACCCTGTCACACTGTCTGTTTTGTTTTAATGAAATTGTTCTCCAAGTCTTTGCAATCAGGGAACAAAGAAAATAATCACTAATCTAAGCAATCCATATCTTGAGCATGATGGAGAGAACATACCAAGAAGATCAGCTGTGCACAAACACTGAACCAAACCCGATAGCCATGACCTCCACTCTAAGCCGCTCTTCCTCTGACCGTCAGTACATGATAGTCCACCGTACTGTCTCACTAAATCGAAGTTGGCCTTGATTTCCCCCATGGATTCTTTACTCCACACACTGTGAGATGAGAGCCTACAGCTGCCATCGCCAACTCTCCTCGCAATTATGGTGGTGCAGGGAAAGCCGAACAGAACAGGCCCGCAGCCATTTCAATAAGCATCTCCTGATTTGGAGATGATTAACACGGTGGTGCTAAGGAGGCACTGTGGCCTGTTAGCTGTACTGTAGCGTCGTGCTCAGCACTTCCCAACAGCCTGAACATCTGAAGGGGGATTCACTGAGTCATTATCACTTTCCAGGACTAATATCTCAGACCTCTCTCTGTTTCTACAACAGACGTGTTGATGAAGAGATGCTATCGTCTAATAATCTAGCACATTTAGGAGCCACTGGGCTATCTGTGTGTGCCCCTGAGGTGTGTGTGGCCTCCTAGCTGCTGAGGCTGGTATCAACTTCTAAGCACGCACACAAATATGCGTTCATCCCAACTAACCTTGCAACATCTACCAGAAAAGGAAGTGGTAAGTTAGCTATGTGCTAAATAAGCAACAATTCAGAAACTAAGACCTTTAAATCAACTCTCCCACAATTCTTATCTTATAAAATTCCCTTTTTGGTATCTCATACAGGCAAAAGCTTCATTTAAACCTAAACCTAACCAGGCCACTGGACGCTGGAGGTCAAGCAAGCATCTTATGTAATACTTCTAAAAGTGGAATCTATGTAGGTGAAAGCTCTTCATGCATATCAAACAAATGAGAGTTTAGAAGCCCTCAGCCAAGCTAAATAATGTTTTAGACTTTGTGCTAAGACACCAAGTAGTTAGATGGATGCAGTTTAAATGCTGTTTGTGTCTTAGTCCAATTTGTGCAAAGTAACTTTGTCGGTGTTCCTTCAAAGGTCACTCCTCACTAACATTCAATGATGTTTTGAATCAATCCTTCAGTTAATAAGACAATTGTAACTCTCCTCGCTCTGCTTCTTCATGCTGTGAGCCACACAGCAGAGGAAAAGGTGAGGAACTCAGCCAAGAGCAATAAACACTAAAAACTATCAGATGAGATGGTTTAAAATATCCACAGTGCAAATCTCAGTTTCAATGCCATTTACACATAATTTGAATTTTTTTACAATTATTTCTCTCACTCAGGCGTCAGAGTCTCACGTCCAGTCATAAATAGCAAACTACTGACTGAGTCAAAGGGCAGATTATTTGAGTCATTAAACACCAACACCCAAAAAAGCCCCAACTGGAACAACTAAACGTCTTTCTGCAAAAATCCATCAGATATGACATCCAAATCATTTTAATAATAATAATGAGTCCAACATTTAATGTGCATTCCCATCATTAATGTAGTCTGACAGTGTCATAATACCACAGAAACTCTTAGACAGGCAGTGTTTAGTGTTGACATGGAAAACCGCTGTTAGCCCTGTGTCTCCCATCAACAGTCAAGACCCGGATATTTCTTAATAAAAACACAAAAAGATAGCAAACGTATCCTCTTTGAAAAACCTCACAACTATCGGAACTTAAATGAAGACTGCATAGAAACACAAGCCCTGAATTATATGGTAATTCATAGCTATAGCTCATTATAAACTATCATCTATTAAAAGACACAAGAACAAGATTCTCATGTTTGCCGAGAACAATCTACAACTGAGCTATTTATGAGAAAAAGATTTACACAGTGATATAAATAAACTCAGAAAGTATATTTCTGGCTTCGTTTTGTTAAATGTCACCCATTCAGTGATCATTCTGAGATATCCCCAGTACTGGTAACTTAGAACATAGATATAATCTGCCATTGTATCCTTTAAAATAATCTTCCCGCTCACCTCTGTTATATGTTTGTGTATTTTTATTACAGTGACTGAATGTGACAGGACACATAGTTGCATTAGATTCTAATATGTAAATCTGAGGTGGGAATTTGCTTTCTGAGCAGAATTTACAGGACAAACTTATTTTCAATTCCATGTTGAAATTTCAGTTTCCAACCCTCCACTCCATAAATGTAACGTGTTATATGAGCTCTCTCACTCCTAGGGGGTAAACAGCTTTCCCACATAACGCACTTTCTTAAACAGTCATCATTAGCTCATCGTTAGTTTGTGGGGGTGTGAAAAGTGAATTACACTGATGTGCTTTTACAACATTTCTCAGCTGGAGGAATTAAAGATTTAATTTATGTCTTATTTCGTCAAATGACACGATAACATCAGAATTGGGATGATACTAAGTCCTTAAAAGGCCTAAACGTTAAATACACCACCCCTCACTGGACTGTGTTATGGGACTATACTGTGACTGTATTGACTCTTTAAAATACTTTAACAAATTGTACGTATGTGAGTAACTTATGAAACTCATGAAAAAAGCATTACCATCAGCTTTTGGTATTATAAATCTGTAGTTTTAGTTAACTCAACCATTCAACTTTACTGTTATTTAAATTTCAGAAGATAGATATATTTGTCAAATCAGAAAAAGTGATGATTATGGACTTTTTTTCCTTATATTTTAAATTCTGAAGCTGTTTTTCTTTCTCTTTTCAATTTAGCTAATATTGCATATTTAGGCCGAACATGCTACATTTGCATATTCAGTTGAAGCGAATGAAATGCTTGCACCTGGTTATGGTCATGCACAAGTTACCAGCAAGATGCTCTCTTTTTAGGAATACTACAACAAATTCAACAAGGGCACCTAAACTACTCACCTAAGCTAAGTAAACATGCACAACACTACAGCATCTTTACACATGGATTAAAAAAGAGATTTAAGTCGAACTAACTGATATTGGTCATACATTGTCGACTGCTAAATCCAGCACATTATGATAAATGATGGTGCTCACATACAACATGATGTTCAAGCATAGGGACCTTTTCTTCAGTGGTTTTCATGTATATGAAATCCCTCCCTAACTTTCTTTGTAGTTTCTGAATTATAAAGGCATTTTTTTCATTTTCACTTGAGTTCAGTGGAACAAGAGGCCGAACGCCCATCACTTTATGAAAATGCCACAATGACAGATGGGTAAATTACTGTTATCTGACACTACCATATCAGTGGTGACGCAAAAAGGGGCTGATTCATAATTCCCTGAAACCACACATTTACTGCTCAAGACAAGTAATTTGTAGTTTTGTACAGTACTTTTAACTAAGCCCAATAAAGGGCTGATTTCAGATTTGATATATAAGTTTAAATGTAAGTAATAGAATTTAGCTAAATGTTTGCTGCAAGAGATTTCAGAAAAGAACACTGCGCATATTGATGCTCAGAAAACACATGTTCTGCAACACCACAAACATTTATGATAGACCTGAAAATACCTGGAATTATTGCCCATAATAATAATAATTATATTTAATAACAATAATTTTTATAATGTTTTTTTTATGTATATTTTGTCTTACACTTTATAGATGCAGAGAACCTAAAACTATGCAAGTAAGGCAGTTTAAATAAGTACTAGATGGATATTATGTTCTGTCACCGAAGACTTATTTTCAATTAATAATCTTTCATTTAGTTATGGCACTTGATTTAAGCTTCCAGCCTGTGGGCGCATGACTCTGACATGAGCTGTACCACAGCAAACCAATTCACTCGCTCATTAAATGCAATGGCATCATTAGTGCTGTTTATATTTAATCCTTACTAAATGTTAATAGTAATGACATTAGGACACATTGAAGTCCGTCTCTGCTTTGTGCTTGTATTCGCTGAGGATGCTGATTTTTGGCATCCTTTCTCAGCCTATAGGCGACACAGCCCGACGCACAGCTCCGCTCGCGAGTCTTCATTGAGAAAATAGGAGCGAAAGAATAGAAAACGTCAACCCAGCGACACTGTTTCACACACAGCCAGATGGATCGGCTGCCCGGGATCTGCTTGAGTGAGGGGAACGACGCGCAGTCATGTCTGTGGGTGTTTTCTCCACCTTTCAGTCCCATTTTCTTCTCTTTTCTGTGACCTACAAACTAGTCCAATGTCGGGCGCTGTGCCTAACCCTTTTTTTCTTTGTCGCCCGAAAAAACCCCAGACAACTCGCAGATTTAGGTTCGTGTAACCTAAATACGCGCCGACCTACCTACAGCTTGACAAACGCGGTTAAAATAACCCAAGAACGAAGACGAAGCGAGCAAAATTCCTCCACTTTCTCCACTAAGTTGTGTACTGAAGGAAGTCTCAATGCCCAGAAGCTGAGCGCCTTATTTGAAAAGTAAAGAAGAGAGTGCGCAGGCTCTTACCTTCCTTTTTTAAGGCATTTATGATCGACTTCATGTTTACTCCCTTGCTACTCCGACTTGGCGTCGCAGTTCGTGCATATCACAGGACTTTTAAGACCCAGAGTTTTCCTTTCAGCACCACGGAGAGCGACTCTACAGCGCACATGATCCCGCTCGCACCCTCATCTACCACCGCCGCCCCGGTTACAGTAGCACGACCCCTTCCGCAGACACTCGCGCACATGAATCCCTAAACTCCGCCCCTCACACACTTCCCTTTCATCCTCGTCTTTCTCACTCTCGTGGGGCTGAACCGCACTGCATAACCTCACACTGGAGCTGGAGCAGAGAAAGTCATTAGTGAGAATGGAATCCAAGCAACGCTTTACTGCAACAACAATACACCGTAAACAAAAACAAAGGCAGCATCAAAGCAGCTCATTTTCTGAGCACTATTTACTTTTAAGGGAATATTATTGTTATACTGTTACATTCCTTGTATTGCATTTGTTTTCTTTCTCTTGACAATAGTTTCATTAAAGCACATTTTGAGGTCACTTTGAAAGAAGGGCAGATGTGAGAGTGAAAGTGAGGTCAAAGGTCAAATGTGATGCCATATTTAGAATCTTCATACACCAGTATCATTTCCTGTATGTTGCCAGTACAAACAAAGGCAAAGGACTTTTAGTCTTAAAGATGAAGGGCATTTTATAAAATTTGACTTTATTTGACTCAGTCTGTCAGTCGGACATCCAAAGTGGCTGCATGCCATCAATACAAACAGAGCATTATTATCACTTTATTATCACTCTAGCTTATGATCACTCTATTGACCTTTTCAATCTGTACACGGTACTTTCTTTATGCTTACCGTAAATACCGCAGTTGTAGGAAATCATCATTAAGTTGACCTTGATAACCTTGGTGGATGGATTGTTAAGGGAATTCATCCAAAACTTTTTGAGCTCTTGTGTTTAGAGACAGAATGATGATGAAAACACAAATGTACTGGCTGAGGTAAAAAGGGAGGAACAATTACTTTTATTTCTTTCTTTAACCTAATCTGTACTAATTATACTGAGTTATCTGTGTTTTGCCTTCATACTGAGGACTGTAGTTGCTTCATTTATTAATTTTTAGTTTGTCAAAACAGAACATTTTAGTTGCAAACAGATACACTTGGGACTATTGTAATGCATTATTATTAGGTTGTCCTAAAAACCTTTCACTTGATCCAAAATGCTGCAGCTAGAGCACACACAGGGACTAGAAAGAGAGCATATTTTGCCCATACTAGCTTCTCTTTATTGGGTCCCTGTTAAATCCACAGTTAAATTTAAAATCCTGCTCCTCACATAAATTCTCCTATACGTATACTACTACTACACTCTACTTTTAAATACCCCAGGAACCACGAGTAAAGCAGCAGTATAAGAGGAAGTGCTTTATTGAGCCCCTCTTCTGTGGAACCAGCTCCCAGTTTCGATTTGGGACACAGACACTGTCTCTGCTTTTAAGATTAGGCTTCAAACTTTCCTTATTGATAAAGCATATAGTTAAGGCTGGATCAGGTGATCTTGAACCTTAGTTGTCATATCTGACATTGCAGTAGGCCAGGCTCAAAACTCAAAAC